GAGAGAGAGGGAGAGAAGGAGAGAGGGAGAAAGCTATGGTTGGCAGGTTTTTGCTAGTGTTGTAGGGATAACCTAGTCCTTACCATAGTCATTGGTGTGTTAGCTTTGGTAGGTCTTATTCTGCTGAAGAGTGGTACACTGTAGAACCCCACCACAGACGCCACCATTAAGTACAGGATCAGGACAATCTCCACCGACGCTCCCAGAACTCCAAACATGGACAGGGACGCCTGGCCCAGACCTATGTCCTGAAAAAATTCACAAATGTTTAATATGACAAACTCTTGCACATTAATTTCCCTAGGCATAAGTTTCCAACCAAAATACTAGTAATTCTTTCTGACAAGCACAAATAGTTAGCAGAGAAACTTCAATACTGTGACTCAAAAAGTTGACATTTGTCCAGGCATCAGCCTGAGTGACATCTGCACCTGGAAACAGATCAGCCAAGGACCTCATCATCTGAGGCTAACGAGGGGGTTTACAAAGTACTTAATTATTACATGCTGCAATGAACAACACTTGTCTCAATCATATTATCTTTATGTTGATCATTTCATGACATATATCAGCAGTTTAATTTCCATTCAACATCACAAGCAAGCAACCTTACAACATTACATGAGACAACTTGGTAACCTCTTTTTTGACCTTAGGAATTTCCTGTACACTTGCAATCTGGGTTGAACAAGGTGAGACATACTGTCATGAAAGTTCATCTGTGTTGGTAGTTACATGTTTAAAGTTAAAACTTTTGGTCCAACACAAAAAATTCTCTCACCTAGAGCTTTCGACCTAGCTCTGCCAGTTCAGAGGTGTCTCAACACATTCACATAGAGTCACCCGGACATTTTGTTTCACTTGACAGTTCAGTTCAGGTCATCACTTGACACTGTAAGGATTTTAGACACTGAAGAAGACTATTTCTTGAGAGGGGTGAAGGAAGCCATACATGTACATCAGGGCCCATCACCCTACATTGAACCGCGACGGGGGCCAACATCGTCTACCAGATACCTTTGACCCAGTGTTGATGTCACACTTCAAAGAAGCCACGTGACAAGCTTCACTGGGTCAGTCTACTGACTCAGAGGAAGACCAGAGTGACTGGTCGAAAGTTCTAGGTGAGAGAATTTTTTGTGTTGGACCAAAAGTTTTAACTTTAAACAAGGTGAGACATATTACCATGTGTACATAGTAATATACTTCAGAGCACCAGCCTGGATAGTAGCACTGTGTAACCAAGTAAGTAAGGCATAGTAAGGCAACTTTGTAGTTCCTGCATCTCTGTTGTAATCTTTTGTTCAAGAAAAAACTGTAGAGTGTTAGTCTGTTTACAGTAACTGTTATTCTGTCACCAACAACTCCAAATCGGATTTCTCTGCAGTATTATACATTTGTGTAAGTCTGAAGAACTGACTGTAACCTGAACTGTTGGTTCAAAGTTGTTGAGATACTTGCTAGTTGAGTACAAATTATTTTGTAGCCCGGCAGTTTAGGTCCCCAAGTCAAGAAGATTACACCCGGTTTACACGGCGACAAAATCCTTGCGTACGAAAATTGCGTACGCACGCGAGCGCACGTTCATTTCTGTTTATACAATGACAGGGAGAGCAAGAGGACTCCCGCTGCGCCCCGTCCCACACTATCGTGACCCCATTTTGACCTGCCGCCATGGACGTACTTGACAGCAGTTTTGTAGTTTGGTTGTAGTCTCCATGTCTCATGCAATGTCCTCATATACTTCCTTCTTCCTAACAGTCTTTATTTTGCTTTTCATCCTGTCGTTAATTCATACTCCAATTTGCGCTGTTACGCCCTTCCGACATGCCCAGCGAACAGTCAGCAAAAAGCTTACTAAATCAAAACAATTGAAACAGAGAATTAAAGGGAAATGAAACGAAATGAAACGCGGAGAATGGACCTATACCATTATTACGTCACAGTTTGTTTACCTGTTCTAAAGAACATTCTAGAACGGTCAGTTAAAGAATAAAGATCATTTCGAAGTTTTCAAAGTAAGGTATGTCTGCTTTTTGCTGCGTTTAGTTGTGTTGACACAGCATTACATGCCGCATGGGTGACTTAGTTGTGACATTAGACGAAAGTAGTATTAAAAGCCTTATATTAGGCTAACGCTACACAAACACACACCGCGCTACGCACCCCTGTACAATATAAACGTCGATTGACCGGCATTCATTGCGGTAAACAAACTGTGACGTAATAATGGTATAGGTCCATTGAACAAGTAAACACGGCGTGGCTGGTACAAACGTGGGAAAAGAATGCAACAAGAAAGGGGTTCTTTCCTGTTTTACATGAGGCTGGGAGGCATGGAGACTCCCCGCTGGGCGCGCCGCTGATCGTACGCCACCTCTAGAGGTGGCGTTAGAGGTGGCGTACGAAAATTGCGTACGAAAGTTGCGTACGCAAATTGGGGCCGGTTTACACGGGGGGAAAACCTTTGCGTACGCAATTTTCGTACGCAAGGATTTTGTCGCCGTGTAAACCGGGTGTTAGTGGCAATGTTTGCTTCAACAGATGACCGTCACTGTCACACAGTGGTAATATGATACTGCATTGTATGTAGTTGAATTCCCCCCAATTTCCAACCTAAATTTACAGGTAATCAACCACCAAGGATGTAAGGAAATATCTCTAGCCCCATGGGAGCTAGAAATCACTAATGTCATCTTGAAAAAATTAGTTTCCTTACTAATCATAGAGCATGAACTTCAAGGTAACTGTCAGCCTGTCCACAAGTTATGGCTCAGTGGTTTAGCCCTGGGCTACAACCGTTACAGTACAAGGCACATGTGTCACGACTAGAAACTGTCAATGAGACTCCATTTTTCAAGACAAATCATGTTATGACTTAAACCCTTGACATCTTACAGGTGGGTCCCGGGTTCGAGTCCTGACATTCCACCGACCATGTGCCCTTGGGAAAGGCACTTTACACGACTTTCCCCACTAGACTCAAGTGAAAATGAGTATTGTCTGTCCAGTATTCGTTTCTATGTACGGGATACAACACCAGCAACAGCTGCCTCTGTTCCGCGTGTATTGCATTGTTGCAATTTCAATAAAATCAAATCTTACAGGTGTGACATTTCATACCAAGTAGTTGATGTAACGTATCCATGCTCCTGAACTTAATACATGTAGCTGAGAGATATATTATAATTATAATAAAACTGTAAGTCAGGCGCAATATAGTGATATTCCTGTTTTTTTCATGGTGCTTTATGTTGACTATTTTCATGAACTGTGAACCTATCATTGCCGTTTATTAAATCAAACTTTTGTCTTCTTCCCAGTGTACTTGTTGCCACCATATTCATTAAGTTCCGTGAACACGTACATTTTTCTAAGACTTTAATATTTTGCCACCATCATCATCATCATCATCATCAGGTCGGGCGTGTTGCCCGGACCGAGTCCACTCTCTCTCTCCATGCTGCCCTGTCCGCCATCAGCTGCCCCAGATGTTCGGCCCTCACCCCAGCGTCTTCAGCGAGTTGGTCAATGTAGGTTCGATGGGGTCTCCCTACGCTGGAGTGTCCATGGGTTGGTGCCCAGAGCAACAGGTTACTGACAAGCTCCCTTTTGTTCCTGTAGCAATGTCCAGCAAACCTGGCCCTCCTCTCCCGTATGGTAGCTGACACAGGTGGTAAAGTCCCATACAGTTCTGCTTTAGACGGATGATGTGTCCAGGACTTGTTGAGCACTGCCCGTAACATACGTGTGTATGTTCCATCCAGTTTGCTCTCTAGTTTCCTTGTCAGGGTCCAAGTTGAAGAGCCGTACAGGAGCACAGATTCCACCACCGCCCTGAAGAAATTCCTTTTGATGTTGTCTGACAATGTGGATTTCCATATTGGCCTTAGATCGTTAAGTGCCCCCCATGCTTTTGCTATGCGAATGTAGACGTCCTTCTCAGTGGAAGAAATGCCACCATTACCACAAGTTTACCAACAGATGAGACAAGACCGGACGCCTGTGTACATGTCGTGCCATGAAACAAAAACACCTTCGAATTCCACTTCATAAAGTAAGCGGAAACTTCAGTTAAACAGACTCTGAGTTATTTACTGAGTCACGCAGGTTTTTGGTAGACGCCCTTCTTGACAGTGCACCTGGACAGAGCACTTACACTTCCTTCAAGACGGGCAACCAACACAAAAAAGAAGGTTGGTAACATGACTGTATAAATTATCAGTTACTGTAGTTTCATTCCTTATTGGTTCCCACAGAATAGACCGTTCCAGATCAAACGCATCGAATCCCCTGTTCTATGTTGAACACCTCGGGGTCTGTCAAACTCAGCGCGGGAAATCTAAAAGCAGCAAACTGAGTTGATGTCTGCTTGATAAAGACTCCTTGTTTTACACGTGAAACTGAATTTGTGACATTGCATGCACTTTCAAGTTGATCAAGGACGTTCTGTTATTCTTCCAGTTGTTCATAAGCTATCATTATTGTTTATGTCCGTGTTTGCATGTTTATTTTTCTACTTGCACCACAAATCTCTTTATACGTTGCGCCCTCCCTCGTGAGTCCCCGTGAGTTTTTGTTTCCCATTTTGTTTTTTTCCCGAGCATGTATGCAGCTGTGATGCATGCAGCAAATGTCGTGGAAAACCTGTTACAGATTAACGTACTCTGTTTCACATAAATATCGGCTGTTAGTCACAGCAACCGGGCACTCTTGTCCACCTACTGTGTGATGTTATGCGTCTGTATTGAGCAAAAACATTTTGCTCTCACTGAAACTAGCTGTCCCCTTCTATAATAATTCCACTCTGTGGATGTACTGTTCAACAAATATAGCTTATTACCAATTTCATTGTCTCCTGGGAGAGTTTTTCGCTACCGAAAAATCCACCCTAAATTTGGGCTACAAATCCGACATTCTGGCGGTGGCAGTCGGTACAGCCCTTCCCGCGCTGATTTGGACGGAGGTGTTCGAAATAGAACATGTCGGGGATTCAATGTGTTCGATCTGGAATGGTCCATTAGGAGATGGATAGATCAATACATGTACTAGAAAGACTCCAAAAGTAAAACTTTAATCTTACAAAATATATAATTTTTATGCACTGCCAGATAAAGATTGCATGTTCTATCTTACATTTTTCCTCTGGCTTGTACTGACTTTGTTTTCTAAGTTTAACAGTCATGTACTTTGGATCAGTAAGGCTACATAAAGGCAAGTCGTGGAAAAGTTATAATAATAAATTATATACAATGTATATAATGGAAATAAAACAGCATTTCTACTTGCAATTGTACTTTAATTATATTTCAGTCCATACCATGGTATGGATGAAATATATTGTGTTCTCTGATGTTTCTTCTCCTTCTCCTGCCAAACAGTCAAAGGGATTCAACTCCGCCATCATTCAACCAAATGACTTGAAATTTGGCATGGAGGGAGAGTGGGCCAATACCCCCAGGCATTTTTTTCATTTTTTTGATAAATGCCTTTGAAAAATTTTTATGAAGGTTTTTTGGGGCATTTTTCGCCAAAAAATGGATTTTTGGATCCTGAGCCCTGGTTTTACAACCAAATGATCTGACATTCGGTATAAGGGTACCTTGAACATGTGTCTACAGAATAGCAGTCACATATTTGGCATACGCCACTTCCAAATGACTCATTTGGGGGACTTTAATGGCTATTTTCAGCAAGAAAAGGGCCAAAAGTGCTATACCCGTTCCATGTTCTATCTAAAGAATGACCTGTTCCATTTGCCCTTGGCCATGGAACACGTGTTCCATTGCGGGTTACCTGAGGTCACATTGCACGTAAGTCGTGCGTAATGACCCACATATTCAATTTTATGTGCCTAAGACCTTCAAAATGTATCAAATCTTATCATTGTTAGTATTTGCATACCTGTAATAAGATTAGTAAAGCTTTCGAGATTCAATGTGCTTGTTCTTGCATCTTTGTTCTCAATTACATAGCCCTGACTATATAATTCATTTATTTGAGAATCTTTGCCAGTTTTACACTGGGGTGAGTTTGGAATAGTCCACTTTTGCGTGGGAGGGAGATGGACTGAAATATGCTGTATTTGCTCGCAAGCAAATGTCGGCCTCTCTAGTTTTTAAAATTCATTTCCTCAAACTACTGTTGATAGTGTAATAGTGGATCAAATTGCTAGTACTTGCAGGTATGCATTCCACTGCTACCGATCCAATCTGTAGCCTGTATAGACAGCTGTGCAGCTGTGCCAACCACACCAATTTAAAATCAACAATGGATGTCTTTGTCTTTCTTTGTATATGGATCCCATACTATCACGGCATATTCTAGGTTCGGTCTTACAAGTGACGTGTATGCAAGAGTGATTTTACTCTAGTTGGACATGCCCACAGATTACGTTTATTAATAATCACTCCCAATGTCTGTTTCGCCTTAGTTGTGATATTATTAACATGTGCACCCCACTTCAGACCGCTTGTCAGCGTGACGCCCAAATACACAAACCACAAAAACCCGGATGGGTTTTTGTGGTTGCTAAAGCCTGACCACAAAACTGGTAGCTATAATAAATGGTTTTTATTGTCCAAACAGTACCCGTGCAGTCGCAGCCTTTATACGGCTGAATTGATGCAGGGTATCACATAATAATCAATACAAATCACAACAATTACAACAATCAAATAATACACATGATACACATATTTTTTGTGGAACTGTCGCAAGGGTCTGTGCGGCTGCCATTCGGCGCCACAAAGTGACCTCAATACGGCTTTCCCAAACCGAAGTTAGGTATTCATTCACACCTGGGTGGAGTGAGGAAAGTCGTGTAAAGTGCCTTTCCCAAGGGCACAACGTTGGGCCGCATGTTCAGACATGTACTGGGTACGACTCGGAATCGAACCCGGGTCTCCCCGGTTCACAGTCGATTGCTCTAACCACTACACCACCCGACGCCACCAGCTAGTTGCATGTGGTGTTCGTTTGTTTGTTTGTTTGTTATATGCATAATGTAGCATTTTTTGGGATTAAACTGCATGAGCCATTTGCTTTGCCATTCTTCCAGGGTGTTCAGGTCTTTTTGGAGAAGTTGCGAGTCGGTCTGTGTAGACAGCTCTACATACAACAGACAGTCATCAGCAAATAACCTCACAACGATCGTCACATACCGTACATGTATATTCGGTGAGTATACATTTTTTTTTTCAATTGTGTTTCTTGTCCAGTACATGTCCAATGTCTGGTTGGAAGGATTGCGGCCAGTGTTCTGCAAGGCTGAGACATATTCAATTCAATTCAATTACAGCCCTACTATTAGTTACTAGACCTACATATTCTATCAAGTCTGTGATATAATTGTACGTGTAAGTATAGTATTTTTTACACCTTTAGCACATCTTTAGAGCAATGCAATGTTAAATGCACTGAAAAATATCAATGGTAGAAATACAATGTATGTACACGTATGCACTACGTCCACACCAATCTAATTTCCTGGTTAACGGATTTTTCTAGAAAAATAATGGAGCGGGCAGGCAAAAAAAAAATAAAAATAAAAACAGGCCTAGGCATCCTACTATGGCCCAAAATGGTACGATAGGAGCCATGAAGTCAACACACCAGGCTGGTTCAAAATTTAAACACTCAATGAATTTTGAACTTCTAATGATACCATTGCATTGAAAGATGTAACTGTAATATAACTGTAACAACTAGGAAGAAAAGGACTGTTTTCAACTGTTCAGGGCAAAATATGAGCATTTTGCAGTTGATTCTGATTTTCTTTCTTTTTTTTTTTTGCAAATCAGAAAAAAAATGAAGAGGGCGAATCTGTTAACCAAGAAATTAAATTGGTGTGGCCTAATGAGAGAGTTACATGTATGTTCTACATGTGATATTTGGTTTCTCTTCAGGTATTACCCAATCCTGGTGAACTTCACATCACTCAGAAACAGGCCCAACTGTCACCTCAACAAAGTCAAGTAGTTTCCATTTCAGTTGTGACGCGTGGCAAGTGGCAAGCTGCCATCAAGCCCCAGTTGTATTGTGCAGGCACGTCTAACCCTCGGAAGACGGGGAACAACAGACGATAAACCAGACAGTGAGTGTGAGTGAGTTGTAGAGGACAGAGTCTCACATTAACATTGTCACTGCAAAAGGACCGACAACTTCAAGGCACGAGTTTTCCAAGCAAAAGATGGATGCAATTAACCAACGGCGGGCAAAGCGTATCTGTATTATGTATTCTGCAAACTTCAGCCCAGTGTTGTGTGCCTGGTTCCTGATGTTACTATCAAACACTGCAACGTCTCAAACAACTGACATTAATAATATCACTCTGGCATCTTTAGCACCAAACAGTACTGTGACATCTCAAACACTTAACTCCACTGTAACATCTGCAACACCAATAATCAATGTGACATCTCAAACACTTAACTCCACTGTAACATCTGCAACACCAATAATCAATGTGACATCTCAAACACTTAACTCCACTGTAACATCTGCAACACCAATAATCAATGTGACATCTCAAACACTTAACTCCACTGTAACATCTGCAACACCAATAATCAATGTGACATCTCAAACACTTAACTCCACTGTAACATCTGCAACACCAATAATCAATGTGACATCTCAAACACTTAACTCCACTGTAACATCTGCAACACCAAACACTTCAGTAGTAACAACTCCAACACCAATAATCAATGTGACAAACACTGCAACATCTGCAACACCAAACACTACAGTAACAACTCCAACACCAATAATCAATGTGACATCTCAAACACTTAACTCCACTGTAACATCTGCAACACCAAACACTACAGTAACAACTCCAACACCAATAATCAATGTGACATCTCAAACACTTAACTCCACTGTAACATCTGCAACACCAATAATCAATGTGACATCTCAAACACTTAACTCCACTGTAACATCTGCAACACCAATAATCAATGTGACATCTGCAACAGCAATAATCAATGTGACATCTCAAACACTTAACTCCACTGTAACATCTGCAACACCAAACACTACAGTAGTAACAACTCCAACACCAATAATCAATGTGACATCTCAAACACTTAACTCCACTGTAACATCTGCAACACCAAACACTTCAGTAACAGTAGAAACAACTCCAACACCAACCGGAACCACTGCCACATCTCAAACACTCAACACCACAGTGAATGTAACATCTACGACACCAAGCACAACTGTGGCAATAATAGATCTAGACCTGTCCAACGGCAGCCTAACGTCCATTCCTCCAGACCTTTTCAAGAACCAAAGCCATCTTCAGCAAGTTGACTTGAGCAACAACCAGATTTCTTACCTAACTGGGAGCATTTTTGCAGCCTTAGTCAATCTGGAGAAACTCATTCTCAGTAACAATGCTATAAAAACCATCACAGTCGAAGTTTTCAGGAACCTTACAAATCTTATTTTCCTGGACTTGTCCCAAAACGCTATCAGAGATCTCCTGGACAATCTGTTTGTGGACAACATAAACCTACAGGTCCTTAACTTGGCTGGCAACAACATTTCTGAAGTTAGGAGAGATACTTTTGTAGGTCTGAGGTCCCTCAAGCAGTTGTTCCTCAATGCCTCTGGTCTGTCCAGCATACACTCATCCAGCTTCACACCCCTGGTGGAACTTAAAGAGCTTTACCTGCAGGAGAATAACATTTCCTTCCAAATCCAAGCAGTCTCCAGAATTCGAAGATCATTCACAGCAAACATTTTCAGAAATCTGCGAAACCTCAGACTTCTAGATCTGTCTAAAAACTCTATCACCTTCCTGCCAGATAACATGTTTGTGGACCTGATAAAGCTAGAGGTCCTCCGCTTGGATGGTAACAACTTCCCAACCATTAGGGCAAACACATTCACTGGTCTGAGGTCCCTTCAGAAACTGTTCTTGAATGATACTGGGCTGTCAACCATCCATCCATCAAGCTTTCTTTCCACAGAGAAGCTTAAAGAGCTGTACTTACAGGACAATGACATGAAATTTCTGCCCTGGGATGCTTTGCAAGAACTGAACTTGACAGTGCTAAACTTGGGGAACAACATTGGGTCAGTGGAGTACAGTTGTGATCGGCTGCCAAACTGTGCAATCAACAACCCAGACACTCCATTTTCATGTTGTAATGACACAATGACCTGCGGAGTAGATTCTTCGATTGGCCTTTGTATGGTCAAAGCTACAGTCACAACCCCATTGCCAATTGGGAATATCGTTATTATAATACTCATGGCAATACTCCTGACATTGTTCATTATCATTACAATACTGTACTGCAATCGGAAGTATCTACAAGTGTGGCTGTATATGAAGTGTGGATGGCGTTTTGATCCGAAAGATGATGGCGATGACAAAACGTATGATGCCTTCATCTCCTATAGCAGCAGGGATGAACTTATCGTGATACGGGAGCTCGCACCTGGACTGGAGGAGCGTGGATTCAAACTCTGCCTGCACTACCGCGACTTCCCAGTAGGGGCGTGCATCGCAACAACCATCATAGAGACAGTGGAGGCCAGCAGGCGGACTGTCATCCTCCTCTCGCAGAATTTCGTGGACAGCGAGTGGTGCGCTCTGGAGTTCAAGGCCGCACATCGACAAGTGCTGGAGGACCGACGGAACAGGATCGTGGTGATTGTCCTGGATGACCTTGAGCTCCAGAACGTGGATAAAGACCTGAAGTTTTACCTGAAGACAAACACGTACCTGAAGTGGGGAGATCCCTGGTTCTGGAGCAAACTGTGCTACGCCTTACCCAGGGTGGGGAGGGGGGCACCAGATTTTCATGACCTCATGTCTGACGAGGCCAGAACTCCAGATGTGAATATAGTCGAACCTGTCCAGGCGACCACCTCTTCAACCCAACCAACTGGCCATCGCGGCCGTACTTTCTCGGTCCCCAAAATTTAACCCTGGCCATTGAGTGAGCATTAAGTGACCACCCAGAGCAACCACCTGGTCAACATGACCGCGACTGCCACCAGTTGGGTCCGCCCATGGCCCGGTCCCTACCGATGGTAACCGGTTCATAGGGCCATATAATTCTGTACATTTTTCAATCAGTGGCGACATTGATTCTCAAACGGACCAATTTGTCTTGCATCTTTCGACTGCCGCACGATATTTTTGTCTAAGGACAAAGATGGCCGCCACTCGGTCATTTGGGGTCAATGGATATGGGTGGGAATTTCAGTGTGCTGTAATTTTTCTCAGCTAGGCTTTATGCCCATTTGTTATCACTAAAATAATTCACTGTGTGTGTGTGATTATTATAGTGGGTTTTTGGAACAATTAAAGTCACTGCACTACAGTTTGTATCATCCGTGGGTTGTCTATACTGCACTTTATGTCCTACCTGGGCCGCGATTACGTTTGATACGGGTGTTCCGGCCCGAGTGATAACTAGCGGTACAGCCTGGGGGTTCTTAACGCGTATGGCCCGGGCTTCTAAATGTTCCATAGAACGATTCGAACGCGTTTCGCCTTAACCACATTTACCACTTTCGAAAATTCGAATACAAAATTCGGACGATGAAATTGATGTTGTTGCATTTTTTGGGTTTAGGGACACCAAATTTTTGCTCATTTCGCTTTGAAAGGCGTGTTTTCTTGGGTGGGTATGACATAAATAGAATACAACACTGTGTACTCCGCATCACCCTTGGTCCCAGCCCTCCCGCGGATCCGATGCGCGGTCAGGCTGGTGCCTCGGGCGATACAGAATACCCCGTGTTGTATTATTAAATTATATATGTATTACCTGGACTCCCACTGGTAGAGCAGCACCTCCAAAGAGCAGACCCAGGGTGTGGATAGACACAATAAACACTGCTGTACCAGTCAGGGCCAGCAGTAACAACATGACCAGAGGATAGCCCAGGTTCCTCTGCCAGGCTGATGCCTTCTGTCTTCTCTCTGTGTAAGAAACCAGAGAATTTGGTCAAATAGGCAGGCCTATAGGTTTGCATGACTACATGTTTGTCTTAAGATTATAAATGATTATCATATGTTCCAAAAGAAGTTCTTACAACATCACCAAATGTGAATCTGTACAATACAAACTTAAAAGGGGGCACACCCCAATTTGTATTCATGTTTCTATTCAAAGCTGCACACCTTCAAGTCTAGCGACCGTCTCCCTGCCGTGGAATGATTTGGAGGGAGAATAACTGTATATGGCATGAATGGACACCTTTTCAGCTACAAGACCAACTGAGTTTGGTTTCTTCAACCTCTTAAATGCTCATAAAATTAACAGAGAAAACATTATTTTCACAAATTTAATCAACAAAATTTTGAATTTTTGCGTAGGATAATCCCATACAAAAAGAATTTTCCGACAGAAATGACTGATGCTGGCAAAAAGATACAAGCCTTGTCACTCTATACCAGAGTCAATTATAAAGAAAATCCTAGTACATGTGTACAGCTTGGTCCAGAGAGCTTAAGGTTGCTAACCACTCTGCATGCTGCACATTAAGACTTGAGCTAACGTACCAAGTTTCTTCCTCTCTGTCTGCACCTCTAGAAGACGTTTCCTCAGGTCCTGTTTGTCTGGGAGGCTGATGGGACTCAGCTTGTCTGTGGGGACAAACAAAATCACTTCAAACTTCTGCATTTCATTTTTATAGCATTGACTGAACACAACTGTGACTACAGAACATACTAGAACACAGGCAAGAGTTAAATCATGTAAAAATAATACTGTATGTTCTTACCTTTAAGTTTCCTTAGTAGATTGTCTTCCTCAAACTTTGCTGAGTAGATGTCTTCTTCTATGTTGGTCATGAACTGGAAGTGAGGCAAATATTCACACGAATATTGGGATTAATTTTATGGTCTTAGAATATTCTAACCATACCACCAAAAAGTGGGCATGCATTAAAATTAATATAGTACATACTGGATGGACTAATTCAATAGGCCCGATAAAGTTAGGATTGTTACCCTGGTAATTAATAACCTTTTTCTTAATTTCCTTTCTTAATATTTTAGGAAATAACCATTCCGATCATGCCTTACTATATTATGAAATTGAATGGCAAGTACATCAATGATTATTTACATGACATACAATTATGTATGATAAAGTCCATCCGACATGAAATAATAAGTAAAACATGCTTTTTCTCAGGTCATGCAATGAACATGCACACTGGTTTACTAGTATCATCTACTTTTGAGTTAATAATATGTCAAATGTGAAAAACTTCAAGGTTCTTTTTTATCCTTTGAGGGAAAAAATCAGGATTATGACAGAATTTGCACCAAATGTTATAACTGCAATGGTCTGGCAAAACGTACTGAGTATCATTCATAAAGTTTTATATTAACAGAAACAAGAAATTTAACTGAACATGGGATGTATGCAATGGGGTGAGGTTACTTTGCTGAGGATGGAAGACTGTTAGAAAACACCTGAGTGTACCAAAATGTAGATCCAAGGGTACATGTATGGTTCAAGCTTTCAATTATATGTTAATACTGCAGGGCTCGAAATACTGGGTGCAAGACTGCATGTGCACCTTAGTGCACCCAAATTTGCTGTGCACCCATTTTTTTTCTGCTGGTGCACCCAAATATTTTTGTAGGTTTACGTCTATGTAAAGATGTCAACTGTATAGTTTCTTATACTGTAGTAACAGCATATTGTTAACAGCAAGTGGGAGAAAATAATAAAATCATTCTTATAGCTGTACTTTTCTTTAGAAATGAAACATAATTGCTGACTTTCTTCTTTTTTTATCTTAATATATGGTGCACCAAAAAACCTGTGCACCTATTCCCAAAAATGAATTTTGAGCCCTGTACTAGACTGTGTAATTACAACATGGAAACATACATGTACACATGGGATCTACATGACCATGAAGGTTAGCCCTATTATAGATGGTAGGCTACTCTACTAAGACCACAGTAAGTAATTTTTATGGATGGCATCAGTGCGCGCATTAATTTTCGCCCGATTTTGGGGAAAAAAACAAGAAATTTTGTTGCCTTCTGACAGTGGTCAACATGCCGAAAATGGGCAAAGATGTCTGTTGCCATGTCGGAAGAGAGGAGACAACAAAAGGCTCTGATAATGTTTTGTTTCTTACTTTGATGCAGTGATACATGTATGTGATACTGGCTGTGTATATGTGATGTTCCCACTGAATCAAAACCATTTGTACAAATTACTACAATTGAGTCAAAATTATGAGGAATGTAGGAACCTTGTTTTTTTTCGGCCCGCCTTGGGTTTTTTTTCCCGCTCCCATCAGATTTGGAGTCTGGGGAGGATGTCATCCATAAAATTTACATGCTGTGGCCTAACAGTTAAACCCCACTGTACATGATACCATGTAGCATCAGAACCTGCACCTTGCCCTGGGAATATTGAGGGGTTTGTTTCTCTATGACTTACGTCCAAGCGGTTATTGAGGACGTCTATGACCACCAGGTGTGGCGACCACTTGGTCACGTGATAAAACAGACCTGGCTCCGAGGACTAGGTAGTGTACATATAATGGTAATATACTGTATCATATATGTAACACAAGATTGTGCATTAAAGATCACATACCTGGTATGTTTTAAGTCTGTGCACATAAAATATTTGACTATGACAAATGAATACAGTATTGCAAAATCTTTGAATAAGTTTATACATGTATCATGTTTAATGTTAAAACTTAAGATCCAACACAATGAAGTTCTCTCACCTAGAGCTTTTGATCAGTCACTTTGGTCTTCCTCAGTAGACTGACCCAGTGAGACTTGTCACATGGCTTCTCTGTCTTACTGGGTCAGTCTACTGATGAGGAAGACCAGAGTGACTGGTCGAAAGCTCTGTACATGCTCAGATATAGAGGTGAGAGAACTTAATAATTGTGTTGGATCTAAAGTTTTAACTTTAGCAGTGGTAAACATGTACAATGTAACAGATGAACCTTCATGATAGTAAATTTATATCATATTCAATGTTTTTAGTGAATCTAAAAGAGCTATGAATGTTTCTTAAAATCAGCCAGCAAAAAATCATTGATATTAGCCATTACTGTCCCCAAAATTCTACCTACATATTAGGCATCACAAGTATCAGAAAGTTGGAAATAGCTAAGTTTGATTATTACATGTTGTAATGGAAATTACATAATTGTTGAAAAGATTCAGTTTTGATAAAATGAAATACACATCTGGGGTTGCTGGTACATTTGATTGTGGGTCACTATTTTCAACTGTGTTCAAACAGATACAGATGATCCATGGTCAAGCATATCTCAAAACTTGTACCTAATAAACTTGAATCTTTCCAACAAGGTTACGCTGCCACTAGTGGCCTTCCATACAAGTAAGAATAAGAAACATTTGCTGGAAGTTTTTACTTACCCTGGGCTTGACCAGTAGCTGCCCAACTACTGTAAAGAGTCTGGCAAAACCAAGTGGAGTACAAACTGCAGAAAAACATCACATACAACATTTGTGAGGCATATAGTACAAAACTGTAAAACTGAATGTGGGTCAATACTGGTGAGGCTGTACACTTTGCTATCTAAGGCCACACCAATTTAATTTGTTGTTTCTCAGATTTTTTTAGAAAAAAATATGAAGCGACAGGGAAAAAAAAACAGGCCAAGGCACCCCATGATAGCCGGAAATGTTACAATATGAGCCATGAAGTCAACATAGCAGGCTGGTTTATAGATTTTG